GCATTTATCAGTTTGACAGATATACCTATCAAAACAGTACTCTCCACTGTACTTGCTTCACTTTAGGGACATAAGTCATCTATATGTGACTGGTCCTATATCCTTGACAAAGAATAAGTTTGCGAAAAATTAGTTCTTCCTAGAGAAAGCTCTTCATGTTTCCTGTGAACCCTGAAACTATTTGTCCTGAGAAATGATTCACCACTCCATTTAGTACAAAACAAGTTTATAGGTTTCCAGAACTTAGTAAGCTCCATGTATCATAGTCCCTTTTTTATGATCCATCTTTTCTATTGTGCATTTAGGTCCTTTTATTTTATTTAATATTCTCAATTTAATACTTCACTTCTTTTTCATTTGTGTTTCTTGTGTTGTTAGTTCACATTTTTTTTCTTTATTTTGTCTACAATTCAGGAGAGGCATTTAAATATACAGAAACCCCCATGTTCTCAGTTGCCTTTTCCTTATTACTCTCATTTAAATCCCACCACTTGGGGGCACATACTGTAGACAAATACACACTCCTTATTTAGATTATACGCTAAATATTTTGAAGATAAGATGTTTCTGGAAAAAAAAAAGATGTCTCGACATTTAATTTTCTTAAATGTATTTCTTTCTTTATTTTCTTTATTGATTAAGGTATTACATATGTGTCCTTATCCCCCCATCGCCCCCTCACCTTCCCACTCATGCCCTCACCCCCCTAGTGTCTGTGTCCATTGGTTATGCTTATATGCATGCATACAAGTCCTTTGGTTGATCTCTCCCCCTTTTTGTTTGTTTATTGTATGTCCATCTTGGAACAACAATGTTGGAAATAGCCAATGCAATTATTTTATTCAGTTCTAATAAGTTATGATAAGTTATACTTGAAGAAAAAAAAATCAGTAGGAGTTACCAAAGATCAGACATAATAAAAAGTAGGAATCGTATCATGTCAGAATTACTGAGCTTAATTTGTCTCTCTTTCACTTTTCTGCTTGATCTAACAATCAACTTTTCAAAACCTGACACCAAATAAAAGGAAATGTAGAGCGTATAATGATAGAAGGATGTAATCTAAACCCAATTTACTGGTTGTAAGTAATGGGCCTTTGTAATGCTCTGGAAACAGTTCTACCTGCATATTTGTACTCTCTTCAATGATTCCCTTAGGATTGACAGCTGCAGTGTGGGGAAACCGTTCATGTTCACCACATAAGAAATGATCTCTGCTGAATATGCTCTCACTTGCACATGAGGTGCTATTTTAGTCACAGTGTAGAGTAGCATAGATAATGTATTATATTCTGGAAGGCTACTATATAGATTATCTTCCATTTGAGACCAAAGTTTCAATTCTCCATTTACATTTTAGTTTGAAATGAGTGCTTTCTTTATTAAAAAATTATCTTCTCTCTGCCATTCCCTTTTTCATGTCCATCCAATTTGATGAATGATGCAAGACAACCACTTTATGGAAAAAATAAAGAATTTGTGAAGACGATGAAGAAGCAAAACTAGGCATCCCACAAAACAAATTACCTTGTTGACATTTATGGCCAAAATACAGGCTGACATTACCTTAAGTATACTCTCAGGAATCATTCAATGATGACTGAATTTGTTAGTGAGAAAATAAAGAAATCAAAATAGTCAACAGCTTAAAAGAATAAGACTTTGGTATCACAATGTCTTTTTATGGTACTTTAATTTCATTTCTAAATACATCACTTGGGAAATTGACAAATTGATGATTTTGATAGAGCATTTTCCCTAAGAGTAATATTGTTCAGAGTAAAAGATTCAGAATATTAGAATCATATTATATTAAAATATTTTTCCCAACATTGCTTTAACAGAATATTGTACTGTCACTTAGATATAACTAAGAAAGTAAGTGGTATTGTAAAAATTCTCAGTTGATGTACATGTGATCTAGCATTATACTTAGGTTTACAACAATGACTTTTGAAAATGTGGTTTTTAATTTTTATATATATATTGAGTTATCTGAATTTATATAAAGTATAACAGATTTTTAAAAATATTAAGTTTTGCGATAAGGCTTTCATCTTCCCACAGACAATGACAGATACCTAAATGCCAATTTTCTCATGGATCCTCCTAAAAATCATAAAGGTCAATAAGGAGTCAAATAAAAATACCCATAAACTATGCCTAAAGAATAATTAGAGAAAGAGACATTACCAACTTTATGTTAGAAACCAGCAGAACTGGCTCAGGAGAGCACACTGCAATAGCACTGGGCAGAAAATAAGTGGAAAGGGGAAATACCCGAGTCTCCTTGGAGTGGGTGGAAGACATATCGGTAGGTTTACTCTCAGAAGAGGGCTGCCCCTGAGTAAGAAATGCGGTGAGCAGGCTAGTGACCTGAATGAACAGAGCGCTGGTTACTAGAGAGACAATTGAAAGTGGCTTGGAAAGAGCACAAGACCCCAGAGAGTAGTCTCAGAAAAGCGTTACTTCTTGGAGAGGTGGGGGAAACTTCAAAGGTGGAATTGTCCCTTGGGGAAAGGGAAACAAGGAGGCAGCTGAATATAAGGTCCCTTTACTGATATAAAAGGAAAAGTAACAATTAATAATCCAATAAAGCCCAGCCAATAGACCAATAAATCAGTGGATGAGCGTCGACCTATGAACCAGGAGGTCACAGTTCGATTTCAGGTCAGGGCACATGCCTGGGTTGGGGGCTCGATCCCCAGTATGTGGCATGCAGGAGGCAGAGAATCATTGATCAATGATTCTCTCTCATCATTGATGTTTCTCTCTCTCCCTCTCTCTTCCTCTCTGAAATTAATAAAAATATTTTTTAAAATAAACCAATAAAGATTAGTTATTTGGAAAGAAAAGGACTAATAAAAAATTTAGATGGAGGAAACAAACAAAAAAATGGAGAACTGTCACAAAGGAAATAACTGTAGAAACAAAGAAAATACTTAAGCATATTATAAACGACTACTTTGAATAATTTTATTAAAATAAAATTTTAAAGTCTACATGAATAATTTCTAGAAAATAAAATTTAACAAAATTAATACTGGTTGAGGTGAATAATTTGACTAGACCAATCTCTGGAGGAAAAAACAAACAAAAGCAAAAACAAACTTCATTTATAAAATTTACCATAAAAATAAGAAAAAAATAGTGCACTCATTTAGACAGATCCTGAAAGGCAATTAACAAATTTCAGCACCCATTCTTAATAAATATGTCAGTGGAGACTATCTTAAAATTAAAAAACACATACAACTTAGTCCACATGCCATCATTTCAATTAATTGGGAACACTGATGACGTGCACACAAATTTAGGAATTAGGCAAGATGCTCACCGACAACTTCTTTTTAATGATATGTCGGAGGGAATAGCCAGTGCAATTAGAAAAGAGAAACTACAGTATTAGATGCATAAGAGTTGGAAAGGTAAAGCAATCTCTGAGAGTCAATGTATAAGCCACTTGCAAACTAAGACACGTCACTAAGAGAGTAGAATATAAAATGAACCTACTAAAAAAATCTGTAGCCTTAAAAATATGAAAGCGAAGATTCTATTTATAATAGCTGCAACAAAATAGTTAAATGTCAAGTAGCAGACAAAACAATGAGGAAATTTTTTAAAGCACTCCTAAAAAACACAAAAATTAGACTTAAAAATTAAAATACATAAAACACACAATTTTGCATAGAATAACTCGATATTATAAAGATTTTAACTTCCTCCAAATTAATTTATAAAGGTAATGTGAATTTAATAAAAATATCAAAAGGATTTTTTTCTATCTAGATATGTTGTTTCTAAAGTTCATCTACAGTGTTAAGCAAGAAATAACTCCAAACTCCTAAAAATTAATATCAAAAAGAGCGTTTCATGTCAGATATTTAAAAATGTGTTATTCTGAAAAATAAATAGACCAACAGAACAGAATAAAGTTGAGAAGTAGATGAAAGTACACAGGAAGTTTAGTATGTGATAAAGGTGGCATTTGAAATTCCTGGTAAAAAGATAGATTTTCTAATCAATAAAAAAGTACAGCCATTAATAAAATGATAAATTAAATTGATACCATGCACTATAAAATGAGCTAAACTTAAGTGTACCAGAGATCCTAAAATATAAAACCATACAAGTTCTAGATTAAGAATAAATTTACTTACAACCTTGAAATGGTTAAAGCTTTTCTACTATGACTTAAGAATTCAGAATCAACAAGGAAAAATGTTGATAAATTTAGCCAAATTAACAAAAATTGCTTTTGCATGGCAAAAATCAGGAAAAAAAGATAAAAAACAATGTATTTGCTGCAGAAGTGATTTGTAATTGATTCTAAAATTTGAAAGAACAAAAAAAGCAATAATGTATTTAAGAAATAGTTGACAGGAAAAGTGTTTGTAGTGCTTAAATATATGAACATTACTCATAATAACAGAAATGTAAACTAAATTAATTGAGATACTACTCACCTAGCATAATGACAAAAATCAGGAAGGCTGACTCACTCTGTTAGTATTGCTTTGGGGAAAATGTCTACCATACTGCCTGTAATAGTGCAAAATGGTTGAAACCATAAGGAGGGGAGTTTGGCAGTATCTAAAAAGATTACGTATGGATCTGCACTTTGACCCAGGAATCCCACATATAAAACCTAACCTAAAGATGCTTCATCCAAAAATCTACACATACACATATGAAAATATATATGCACAATTCATTCCGGCATTAATCCTAGTAGCCAAAGTTTGCAACAACCTAAATGTCCCTCAGTAGTGGACTGGTTGAATTTACCATGGTATATACAAGTCAAATGGCTTTGAAAGCACCTGATTGATTCTGTATGGCACCAAAGTAAAATTTCAGCTATGGCTTTTTAAAATAGAAAGTTATTTTACTTAAAAAGTAAACTTATTTTGAGAACTGAAATAGCAAATGAAGACTGTATTAACATATTTATAACAGCAGAATAACAAGAACATTATGTACACATTACTTTTACTTACGGTTGATAGTTTTGACTGGTAATATTGGGTTTACCCTCTCTGGGGAAGCAGCATTTTCCTCATCTGTCACATATTCAAAGTTAATGATGAACATCATAGCCACACCCTCTTGATTTTTCACTGGAATTATGTGTGTGTTACAAATGAAAGTGGACCCTGAGGAAATGAAAGATGAGTGTTAGGTTAAAAATATGCCAACATTTTGAAGTATCGTCATATTAAAATTTTAATAAAGCCATATAGGATTTTCTCTTACATGATAATTGAAATTAAATAAAAAAATTTTGATTTTCTTCTTATTGCACATGCTTTTATTGCAATCAATATACATGCTTTTATTGCAATAAATAATGCAGTTATATGTTAAGCCACATCATGGATTTGCACAACCTTGGTTCTTTCCTTCCCCAAGGTAGCTGGTACACTAACCTCATATACATTTCCCCTCACCCCCAATTTTTACTATAACTAAATATTAAGTACCATTCCATAAAAAAACTGCATTATTTTCTATTTTAAAAGATTATAAGAATGGCACATGTATGTTACTTACAATTGGTATATTTTTCAATTATAGTTTATATTCAATATTATTTTATATTAGTTTCAGATGTACAACATAGTGGTCAGACATTTATATCATTTACAAAATAACCCCCCAATAAGTCTAGAACCCACCTGGCACTATACATACTTATAATCTAAGTAACTATATTTCCTATGCTGTACTTTACATTTCCATGAGTATTTTGTAACTATCAATTTGCACTTCTTAAAAAAATACTTGATTTTTTTATTTCATATTTTATTAAATAGATACTAACTTAAAATATGCACAAAATGTGTCAGAAAGTATTCACAGGCAAATTCAGGTATTATGTTATGGAATAACAGAATATGAATGCTCATTTGTTTCACCCCCAATAAGTCAGACAGACTATAAAAATTAGCATATGGAAAAAGAAATATTTTTACACTTTCTAGAAAAAATTCTTAGCCTTTCCTTATATATTTTGCTTAAATCTGAATTTATACAAAATATCTATATAAACAATAAAGATAACTCCTTTTGTGAAATTCTGATTTTAGCATTAAAGGAATTATTTCCTTTTTCTCATTTACTTTCTTAGGAATAATCCAGTAGATTATTCACTCTCACATATGTTCCAATAATTGTTTCTTTTTTTGTGCAAAATTCCCAATGACCTAATTATAATAATTTTATTTGATTTGTAACCTGTCAGCAAATGGGAACAAAATTTTGTCTATATTATTGTTTTAATTTGATCCCTTCAACCAAAAAGTTGAAATTCTTTGATAAAAACAATTATAGGGGTAATTAGATATATTTTGTTAGGATTATCCAGAAATTACCAAAGGGATGACTCAGTTTACAATCAACTAGTACCACCCATCCTTGAAGAGAAAACCCAAGATTCACGATTTAGAGAATATAGCCAAGAAAGTGACTTCCTTTAAATCAATTGAATTCTGACTGTCTTCTTGGGTCTGACTTTTCAAACTGAGTGTAACCTCAAAGCAGGGTCCTCATATTTGTATCATCTAAGTATTTTTTATTGAGGTATATTTAAAATATAACATTATACAAATTGGTTTCAGGGGTATAACATAATTATTCAATATCTGTATATGTTGTGAAATGATCTCCACCATCTAGTTAACATTTGTCACCAAACAGCTATATTTTTTCTTTTTGTTCTTGTGATGAGGACTTTTAAGATCTGCTCCCTTAGCAACGTTTAGATTTGCAATATGGTATTATTATTAAGTACAGTATATAGTTACCATGCTGTATATTACATTCCATTATTTATTTTATAGCTGGAAGTTTGTACCTTTTGACCCCCTTTTCCTATTTGTTTATCCCTTGCACCGCCTTCCCTGGCAACCACCAATCTGTTCTCTGTGTCTATGAGGTTTTTATTGGTTGTTGTTGTTACTGTTTGTTTATTTTGTTTGTTAGGGTCCACATGTGAGATCATATGGTATTTGTCTTTGTCTGACTTATCTCACTTAACATAATGCCCTCAAGGTCTTGAATAATTTTTTTAGTCATGGTGACAGAAATCTCACAGGTTAGGGATTCATTTGGGTTCAAAAGTATTGTATGTTTAAAATGCAAAAACTTCACAAAGAGTTCTCATTCAAGTAATAGTGTATATTTTGATTGCCTTTATTTTTATCACATTTTTAATTAGATTCTTTGGGGTGACACTGGTTAATAAACTGATATAGGTTTCAAGTGGACATTTCTACAACATACCATTTGTATATTGCATTGTGTTTACCACCCAAAGTCAAGTCTTTTCTGTCATCACATATTTGATCCCCTTTATCTTTTTTTTTTTTTTTTTACTACCACCAGACTCCCTTTCTCTCTGGTAGCTCTCATACTGTTGTCTGTGTCTATGTGTTTTTGTTTGCTTGTTTGTTTATTTGTTGCTTTCAGTTTTATATACCACATGAGTGAAATCAAATGGTTCTTGACTTTTTCTGTTTGACTTAGCTCCCTTAGCATGATATTCCATCCATGTTGTCACCAACAGCAGTTTCTTCTCCCCATTCATCCTCTGCTTTTTTATGTGTTACTCCAGGCCTCAAAGCAGCTGACTTCCTCAACCTGCAGGACCCTGAGTTCTGGGTGGATTTGGCTAATGGGTGGCATTGGCAAGAGATAGGAGGGTGGGAAGGTGAAACTAATGGTGCCCCCAGCCTTGCCAGGGCCACAGGTCCTAAAGGCCAGCCTCTTCCAAGAGTGGTAATGGTTCCTGGCTGATGCTAGGCCCTGTAGGAAGTTCTCCACTGGCTCTTGAAACCCTGTTCACACCTCTGCAAATGTTCTACACTTGCCTCTGTTGAACGCCACTTGTGTCCTGCCAGGACCCCACTCATATACCTCTCGCCTGAACCACTTGCACTGAGGGTGGGCCCTTTATCTGGGTTCCCGGGGCAGCTGGGACATATGACAGAAGTCACTAAACCTGCAGAGATAATGCACAGCCCAATGGCTATCTTTTTAAACAACTGGTTGAGACGGCCTTGACTCTTCAGGACAGTGATGGTTCACTTTAGAGTTAGGAGCAGGTTGGCAGCAAGGTGGGTCCAGCACCCATTTGAGAGGGAGATGCAGGAAAACAAAAGGAGACACCAAGATGCTGAAGACATCGGCAAAGGCAAATAGGATTTAGTTGGGGCCCCAACATCCCGGAAGGCCAGTGGATGCGAGTATTCCAAAACGGCGCCCCATCTACACTTTGTTGAAAACAAAATGAGTATGAGAACACTCCTTCCTTTCTCCTCACCCCTATAACATGGCCCCCGCTGCCAGAGCTGAGAACAAAAGTTACTGCTAATATTGCTATAGCCTGAGGCCTCGCAGGCTTTTGAGGGTGGGCCTGGAGATCTAACTATTATTTATGAAATTATTTCTAAGTGTGACCGTGGTTTTACTGATGTGGGAAAGTGTGTTTTAAGAATGACTTGCTTAACCCTCACAGTCTTCAGCTACATCTTTAATTTATTTAATAAAATAGTGAGCTAGAACACTTATCACAGTTACCATGGTAACAAGCAGGATCACATTAGTAAACAGAAAATACTCAATTTAAGACTGTTCCATTAGAACTAAAAATAGAAGTGCTTCAGGCCAGGCATCACACTACAAATTGGTTAAACAGAGTCTATGGAGATGCTAGAAATAGCCATTATGTATTTTTCTAATGAACCAAAATACATATTGATTTTATCACTTAAAATGACATATCTTGGATCATTTAGAGTATCATGAATTTGCAGATTTGTTACTTCGTTTAAAATTTTTACATTTGAGCGTACTGCTGACTGTACAAAAAACATAAAGCACAGATTTGTGAGAAATCAATAAAGGATATGAGGATAGAAATCTAACAGTTTTATAAGAGAGCAGAGTAATTTTGTTTTCAGTAGTTAAGGGGGAAATGATTTTTTTCAATACGAATGCTTGTAAATTTATTGTCTAGGGCTAAACAAATGATAAAATTACAGTGCTTTATTTAAAAAGTTTATATACATTAGCCCCAAAGCATATTAAATAAGTATAATTATCTTGGATTTACTGCCCACTACTATTGTTTCCTGCATGTTTCTTCTAAAGTTAACTGAAGACTTGTATTTCCGTTTTTTCTCTTTTAGTTTTTGGATTTACTATCTCCATCCATCTTTCATAGCCTTCTGGAAAGCAGATATTGAAAGGAAGTACATGTAACTTAGAAAAGGAGATTCAAGTACATTTTGTAGGGCAAAAACATTTTAGCTTGCTTAATTTTACAGATTCTAAATTCTGTTAAGCTATTACTTTGTAAAGTGATATTATCTTAAGATTATCTTAAAATTACACTACAGTATTATTTTAATTTTTTTTCTTGAATACAAAATTAGAAGCAAGAGATATGGAAATATAATTCAGCCAACACTAATCTAGCAATGAAGAAAAAAATAATCACATTCAATAATGCATAAATAGGGAACTAAAAAAAATCTAGAATAAAAAGTTCAGTCCTTGTTAAAAGGAACCTTGCATTCAAATAAAACTAATGTTTATTAATAAGCTTATTTACAATAACATTACCCAATAATTATAAAGTTACATTTGCCTTGATCCTAATGTTATTTAGAATCACGTTCACTTCACTATTATCTCCTGAGTGGGAAACAATAGTAGCTTCTAACACGTTCTCATTCTCAGAGTGGGAAGAATGGGCAGGAAGAATAGTGCTCATTTTAATTAAATGTCTAGAATGTTAATTTTTAACTGTAACCACGGAGCCAGCAAACTCAGGGTGATCTGAATAAGTACTTCTTTATTAATAAATTGGTGGTATACTCTTAGCTGCATTTTATTAATTTTTCCCTTTATTTTATTTATTATTTTTAAGGCCAGGACTCTTCTCTTTGAGCAGTAAACAAAACAGATGCATACCCTTGCCATTGTGTAGTTTACGATCTAGTGGATTTGGGAGAGACAGAAATAAATAAGTGAAATACATAGTAGATTAAAGGTGAGAAAAATCATTGAATATTAGGAATAATATAGAGAAAGAGGATAGTGAGTGCCAGGAGTAAGGCAGAGTTTGGGCTGACAAAGGAGAGCTATTAGA